AAATGGATGCAAATGACTGGTAACTGGAAGGACACTATTTGATAATGACTTCAGATCCTGTATTTCTGCTAAATAATTTAATTACAGTGCTGAGATAACTATCTTTTTCTGCAAATTAATTTCCTTTTTTTCTGCTCTATAACTTTCTTCTGCAAATATAAGTTTTCTGCAAATCTAACTGCTCAAACTTTTTCTGCTGTATAACTTTCTTCTGCAAATATAACATCAGCCGGTTTTTGAAATGCATAAATTATAAACATGAAAAATACCTTCAACCATGTTTTACTTTTCAACTTTTCGAAACATCCTTTGGAGGCTTAAATTTTATGAAAACGCCAATAACCAGTGAAGAAAGATCATGAATTTCAGAAATTCTTCAAAAAAAAGATTTCAAATTAATCTTATTTCATGACTTAATGAGAAAATTTTCGGCTTGAAGTCCCTAATTTTACGATTCGGCTTGAAGTCCCGTCGGCTTGATGTCCGGCAGCCCTATTTTTGATGTTCATACTCTCTCTAAGACTTAATATGTTTTTAGATTCTAGTGTAAATAAAAGTGCATTCAAACTTTCTCTCGCAACAATAGCTAGCTCGTATCAACCGTGCAATTTCCCCCTTTAATCGATTTAGGGGAGATAAAATACTGGCTTTTCATATAACAAATTTGATGGCAAACTAATGTAATCTCATTAATAAAAAAAATTAATTGAAAAAACTATGAATCATAATTTGGCCAATTGACTGAATAAAATAGATATTCTTTTTGAAAAATTTGCGCAAGCATTCTAACTTGCGCTTTTGTTTGAAATGAATTTTTGAAATTTATACGTATTAGAGGGTACTATACGATAGGTTCCTTAGAGGGGAGATTGTGTGGTTGATGGCTTTAGTCATCCAAACCAAATTCGGAACCTACTGCTGATTTCAGCTCCTCAAGAGCAGCTCTGAATTTATTTGTAGCTACAAAATTTATAGCAATTTTTGGTTGTACTTTCGAAGAAAACGGAATATGTATGCCTAGGGCGGTTTCTTGATTCTGTCACTTAAAAGCGATCGATTTAATAGTTGTTATCAAAACACTTTTGATCCCCATTGAAGATTTTGACTCACCAAAATCAATTTAAAAAAGATATTTTACTCCAGAAAATTTTCGCAAAATTTTGGGAATTTGAAAAGTGCCAATTTGGCCTTGTTTGGTTCCCAACTCGGCTCGAGTCAAATTCTTAAAGCCTAAATATGAAAAGACGACCTCAACCCAATGGAATGTGATCCTTCTCTTATTTATTTCGCCCCTCTTAAATTTTTCACAGGTTGGAAGCAAACTAGGTATAATCAACAGTTTAATTAGAGAGCGATAAAAGAAAAGTAAATCAACTTCTATATATATGGAAAACTAACCGCCTGTTGAGATCTGATCTCGTGATATGACATCGCGCGATATAGCGTGACATTGTGCGATATCGCGTGACATTGGAGAGCGATAAAAGAATAGTAAATCAACTTCTATATATAAGGAAAGTTAACCGCCTGTTGAGGTCTGATCTCGTGATATGACATCGCGCAATATTGTATGACATCGTGTGATATGCAATCATGTTCTTTTTTTGAACAAAAAAAGTGGGAAGTGATTTCTCTATGAAGTAAGAGGTCATTTCTGCGAATCTTAACACTCCTCCTTTCAAAATAAGTACTACATCGTAGCCTACACTAGTCTGAAGGTTCAGTTTTACCATTTCCCAGACGATGTTTGTTGAGAGTAATATCACTTTTTTTGTCCTATCTCAAATATCCTGATCAATTTGCCTGCTCTGCTTTAAAACTTCATACTCTTCCTTATCTTTAAACCTAACTTCATGTCCATGCTCTGAAACTTCTCAACCTTGCATAAGTTTCTCGACTCATTTTTACCTCGTTCATCTAATGACGTTGGATGGGCTCTAGACTCATTTTTCAGCTGAACCTCCTACATTATATCATCGTCATTTATTATCAAATTCTCATTTTGATCACTAAAATTCTCAACCTTTTCTTCTGTCTCTCTGTAAAAATAAATCTTATTGACACTGAACTCTGAAAATTGTTTTGCACTTTATCAACACTTATTTTGTCGTGTTTTATAGTTTCTATTATTTTCCAAAAAAAAACATTTCCCTGCTCATTAAGTGGTTAAACTGTCCAATTTCCTGGACTATTTTACGAAAACTATTTTAGCTTCTTCTTTAGTAACTTTTGAGACGGGCACAGTTTTTTTTTAGTTTTCTGGTACATAGAATCAATCACTATTTGAAAAGTTTTTCAAATTTTGTTTAGAATCTTTCACAAAAAACTCTTTTCACAGTTCTTTTACCTAAAACCTTAGACTCCATTTTGTTAGCGTTTTCAACAGTTTAGCTAAGACTCCAGCTCAAAAAACAAGTTCCTATCCTTTATCATATCGCAAGTTGAGCCTGAATCTAGGTCACCGTCGACTTTCTCGGCTGAGTTGTAAAAGCTAAAATAAGTTTCATTTGTGTCAGCCAACAGCTGGTATACTCTCACGCTTTTTCTCTCTAAGTGCTTCTTACAATCCCTAGCTATGTGTCCTATTTGAAAGTACCTAAAAAATTTCATAGGAGGTCTATCAGTAGATGACTAGTTAACTTTATTCTCTAATTTAGATCTGCAATGATCTGCTATGTGTTTGTCTTATTGCACCCAAAACACGTTTTTGTCCTAGATATAAACGAATGTTCAGTATTCTCCTTTCTTATTCCTATGATCACTTTGAAAGTTTAACCAGTTTTTCTTAATGCCCATCAAATTCGTATCATCTTTGCTAAACTTAAGCAAAGTACAAAACGTTTTGAACTCTTTTGGCAGGCCTTTAGGAATGATTGACACAAAAATCTTTTCACTTAACCTCGTCTACTTCATCTAAGTTATACTGCAACTCTTCCGCTCTAGTGTTATAATCGACTACACTCTCTTTAGGTTCCAACTTTATCGAAGTTAAATCTGAAATCAATTGCTGCAGTCTTGGTCTGTCGGCGCCTTTGAACCTTGTGCACAAAAATTCTCAAGCCATACTTCCCTTCCCTCTATATGGTCTCAAAAACAAAACAGATTTTTTGTCTGAACATTGGACCAACTCATACCAAACATGCAATTCTTTTTCACCTAAGTTTTTCTCCCTTTTCTTAACGATGCCTCTTTCTGTTCTATAGTAGCATTATTCCTAAACTGGGTGCAAAGTCTTTCTCATCTACTTCTCTATCGATAACTTTATTCAGTTTAAGATGAAAAATTCTTGCCTCAAATTGCTCTGCAAAGTACAAAAAATCTTCTTCTTTTCCTGAAAACACTATTCTCTCTGACTTTCACTTAAACCGTATTGCTCTGAACAAATAACTTATGTTCCACTTACTTTTCAATGACAAAATTTCAGTCTATGCTATATCAGCAAACATATCGCAGCGCATAATATAAGTAATCATGTATCTCATTACATAAGTCTGATCCATAACCTAACGGTAAGCGTACTTGATAACTAATCAGCGATTTAGCAAAGCTAAGGTTACTTCACAGACTTCATACATAGTAATATATAGCAGCAAAAATAGAAATTTTGTAGTGTTTTGTTTCGTGGAATTTCTATTCTTTAAATCAGGTTCGAGTTCAGATCTCGCAGCGACGGGTTACGATCCTCCCAAGCAACAACAAATTTCTAAAAATTTATAAGACACCACATCAATTGAGTTTAGCGAATTGAACCGTTTGTTGGTTTCTAATTATCACTGTTTCTTTCTCCCTCTCTCTCTCTCTGTGTGTGTGTGTGTGTGCGTGTGTGTGTGTGTATTTTTCTCGTGTGCTTCTTTCAGCTTTCCTTGTGATTCCAGACTTCTGTGTGTGTGTGTGTGTGTGTCTATTTTTCTCGTGTGCTTCTTTCAGCTTTCCTTCTGATTCCAGACTTCACTGATCACTGAATTGTCTCAATGCCCTATCTCAATGATCCTTTTTATTGCTCTGTTGTCTATCTGCTAGTTCATAATCTTCTTTGTGACTTTTTCCTCGATTGTCTTTTTTTGTGATTTTAACTGTGTTGGCAACAAAATACAGCTTGCTCTCTCAAAGTTTTTTGTTAAACCAGTCAGTCTTGATTTTTGACAATTATGTTAGCAGCTGGGTCCATAACTTTTCACAGGGTGGCAGCAAAACTAGGTATAACCAACAGTTTAATTCGAGAGTGATAAAAGAATAGTAAACCAACTTCTATATATATGGAAAATTAACAGCCTGTTGAGATCGGATCTCGTGATATGACATCGCGCGATATCGCGTGACATCGTGCGATATCCAACCATGTTCTTATTTGAACAAAAAAGTGGGAAATGACTTCTTTATAAAGTGAGAGGTCATTTCTCCGAAACTTAACAAAATTTTTTTGTCCCAGTTTACCATAATTTTTTTATGGGACTTCTTTGTATATGAGCAAATTAAGAGTAAATTGTTTGTGGGGCAATGCAAATGAAAATGTGGCCATCACAGAATGTGTCCCGATCATCGCAAGGAAATTTGCTGAAAAAAAAACATTCCCTAAACTCTTTTTGAACAAACTCAATAAAACTGGTGTTTCAACTGATGCGCTTCTATAAAATTTGAAGAAATCTGGATCAAATATCATCTACACCGATAGTTTTTTTCGGGAAACGTTTAAAAGTGCCTTGGATTTTCTCAAAAAGGTTTTGAAAAAGTATTTTTTTGATTTTGTTTTTCAAATTATAGCCGGTTTCAAAATTGAATATTGAAGAAAACCATAAAAGATTTTATTCAGAAGAATTTCATCTTTTCGAAGATTGGAGCTTCAAAAAAACCTTGGACTACTTGACGTACAAACTTTGTTTTAGAATTCAATTGAACTTTATCGTTTATTTTCTGACCTCTACTTCGAACTTTACTATGTCGCAAGTTTCAGATTTATTCAAGCAACTTTTTCTTTCTATTTATTCCAATCTGAAGCCATGATCGAATAAACAAACTGTTTACTGTTATTTTAACTTTTCAGCTATTTAAAACAACTTTCAATAATACATTAATTTGAAGATACTGGAAAATGACTGAAAACCAAGAAGCTCCGGAAAAAACGCAGACTCGTTCGAATTCAGAAACGGTTGTAACTTCACCGGCCATAAATGACTTAGATGAAGGGCGAAATGTGCATTCGTTGCCGCTGGATGACCTCCAAAGTCGACCAAGAGGAACAACTTTTGGAACTCTTATGTTTCTGGATTTGTTCATGCCATTCCCTTCAGATGTTACGATCTTGACACCCGAGGCGGAAATTAGACGTCGTAAAGTTGCCCTTTTCCTCATCTCTTTGTCAATTTTATTTCAAGCTTGTGCTTTTTACACTATTACTTTTGCGTTCAAGCCTGTTTTGGACGCTAAACCATACGGTTGGTCTTCGTTTGAAGCTTCAAACATTTTGGAACTTGTAAGCTTATTGCAGTATTTTTCGGCATTTGTCGCCACTGTTCTTACAGATACATACTTTGAGCGATTCTCAACAATTATGGCAGGTTACGCCACTTTTGTTGTAGGTTATTTAATCTTTGTCGTGTCTCAACTAGCGGACCATAAGAGCTGCTCGTTTGCAAGTTTCTACAAAATAAGTTCAGTTAAAAATGGGTACGGACCTCATTGTGAGCCGCTGATTGTTCTGGCACTTTGTGCGGTTGGTCTGGGGTCCGGAATCTACAATGGAAATATTCTCATTTTCGGAGCAGATCAGACAACCAAGTTAAGTCGAGTTCCCGTCTTTTTTCATGCATATTTCTGGTGCACCAAAATGGGGGGACTGATAAGCTGCTACATTCTCAATTACTTGCTGATTAAGTTCGATCATTTCACCTCTTCATTGATCAGCTCTGCAGCTTGTTTGATGATTTCGGTTGTGTGCTTCTGGTTCGGAAAAAGGTTTTACACTTACAGAGATATCCAGAAAGATCTGGTACCGACTGTGTTCAAAATTCTACGCAACTGTTTCTCGGCAAAAAACAGGAGAAACTACTCTCTGCATCTAGGTAAGCTCAACTTTTTACGTATACGCACACGAATCCTTAATAAACTTTGGTGAGTGTTTACTATACCAAAAGTTTGCCTGGCAGTTTAATCTGATTGCAAAAATAGAACGGCAGATCAGTTCATTAAGCACAAAACAACATTAAAAATTGTTATTGTCAGCACAATTTCTGGCCCATTTGAATCATCTCCCCCTCAATAGACCAAGCGAACGATCTCCCCCGTAAAACGAATGGCAAATTCAAGCCATAAGGCCTGCATTTACTATGCTCAAATCTGATAGGCTGAAAAATATTTCTTTTAACCACGCGAACAATCTCACCATCAAAGTGATTTGGAGGGAGATTTTTCCCTTGGTCCCAATTTTCGACTTCTTACACCCATTCACTGCTGGTAGATTTTGGGTCAACCGAAATTTTGCGAAACCAGAAAATTCTGCCGAAATAAATTTTTGTTCTACAAAAAACGAAGCTAACTCAATAGAAAATGCGGATTGTTGTGCAAGTTGCACAAAAATTCCGACTTAAGTTTTTTTCGAACCAAAAATTGACCTTTTAAAAAAAGTTTTCAATTTTAAATCGCTGGTTTTAATTGATTATAGTTTGTCTACTAAAAGAAAATTGCTCGTATCAAGGTATAAATTTGAATGTTCCGACTGCCGTTTTAAGTCCGTTGAGTAAAGTTCACTTTAAAAAGATTGATGGAGTTATCAAAATTAAAAATATATATTTTCCTCTCAAGCTATTCAACAAACACAGTGATATGCCTTCCCTTTAGCAAAGTTTTAAATAGACTAACTAGCAATTTGAAACTTTTCTAGCAAATTCAATTATTCATTTTGGAATTTTTTTAGATGGACTTAATTTGCTCTTACGCGCTCATAGCACGAAATATATTGAGCGTTGATTGTTCTAAATTTGCGTAATTGGCAACCTTTAAACCCCCATAACTTTTACAAAAATGATCACAAGTTAAGTATCAAGCTTGAGCTCAAGATAATAGTAATTTTTGATGAAGAAAAAAATTCGTCACAAGTAGCTAGTCTTTGTTTGAGATTCAAATTTTGTGCCTGAAAGAAAACTACCCCGAGCCCTAAGTTACGGTCTAAAAAGCTGAAAACAAAACTTAAAACTTTTGAGATTTTTTAAATTAAGCACCCCACACGCCATATAAAGTACGAAGTGATCAATTTGGCCCGAGGCAATATTTGAACCCCTATTATTTTACACAAAAAATAAGAGGTAAAATAATTTTTTCACTTCAGCTCAAGACAACTACACCTTTTCAAATGTTTCAAAAAAACCGTCACAAGTGGCTAGTTAAATAGTCAAAAATTGTCTGCAGAAAAAAATTACCCGTGCAAGCACAAAGATTTGCTCACTTTCTTCGAAAATCGGAACAACAAAAAATGAAGCTATTTTCAAAAAACAACAATACTGCTTGCATCAGGGCCAAATCTTGCAGGTTCGGACTAGCTCTTTTAAATTTATGAAAAAATATTCACTTTAAAACAATGATTTAAAAAGTACACGCCTTTAGAAAAATTTCGAGGTTGGTCAGCCAAAAATAGATGTCGTAAAGTTATACCAAAGGGGGACCCTTTTGGTCGGCAAGGAATCGTCCTCCCCCCCCCCCCCCCCAAAAAAAAAAAAATCCGCCCCTGAAAATAATAAATATATTAAATACTAAATTAAATTAAAATTGATTAGAAAATTAATTTGATGACAGTTTTCTTCATTTTTGATGTGTTTGGTCATGGCGAGCTTCAACAATTTGCCATGATGAGCAAACTAACCAGTATTATTGCCAAAAATGTAATTTATAACATTTTTGGGAAAACTGGGCGGACGAATTACTTTAAAAAAATTGAATTACGCATAAAACTGAGCATTGTTTTTTAAAGACGGTTTATGCATTGGTTCGAAATAAATAACTACCTACAATGTTCCATTCGAAACCCTATTTTGCAAGCTTATTTAACAAAACATTGCTACTGACCTTATGAAAAGAGTTTCAAAATCACTGTTCCAGACCACACTCTTCATTATCACCATACTTTTTTCGAAAACCACACTCTTCACTGGATACTTGCATTGGATAGTGAGATTACCTTATATATCTTTGTTTAAGTTTTTTTTCCTATACATTGCCGACTAAGAATAAAACACCGAAATTTTTTTCTGCAACAATGATTAATAATTTGAAAAAACGAATTGCGAAACTACTGAATATATGCTTTTCAAATGTTTCAAAAAAACCGTCACAAGTGGCTAGTTAAATAGTCAAAAATTGTCTGCAGAAAAAAATTACCCGTGCAAGCACAAAGATTTGCTCACTTTCTTCGAAAATCGGAACAACAAAAAAAGAAGCTATTTTCATAAAACAACAATACTGCTTGCATCAGGGCCAAATCTTGCAGGTTCGGACTAGCTCTTTTAAATTTATGAAAAAATATTCACTTCAAAAAATGATTTAAAAAGTACACGCCTTTAGAAAAATTTCGAGGTTGGTCAGCCAAAAATGGATGTCGTAAAGTTATACCAAAGGGGGACCCTTTTGGTCGGCAAGGAAACTGTCATCAAATTAATTTTCTAATCAATTTTAATTTAATTTAGTATTTAATATATTTATTATTTTCAGGGGCGGATTTTTTTTTGGGGGGGGGCTTCAACAATTTGCCATGATGAGCAAACTAACCAGTATTATTGCCAAAAATGTAATTTATAACATTTTTGGGAAAACTGGGCGGACGAATTACTTTAAAAAAATTGAATTACGCATAAAACTGAGCATTGTTTTTTAAAGACGGTTTATGCATTGGTTCGAAATAAATAACTACCTACAATGTTCCATTCGAAACACTATTTTGCAGGCTTATTTAACAAAACATTGCTACTGACCTTATGAAAAGAGTTTCAAAATCACTGTTCCAGACCACACTCTTCATTATCACCGTACTTTTTTTCGAAAACCACACTCTTCATTGGATACTTGCATTGGATAGTGAGATTACCTTATATATCTTTGTTTAAGTTTTTTTTCCTATACATTGCCGACTAAGAATAAAACACCGAAATTTTTTTCTGCAACAATGATTAATAATTTGAAAAAACGAATTGCGAAACTACTGAATATATGCTTTTTTGTTATAACTAGGTTTTAACCGACCCCCAATTTACAAAAATGAGTGATATTTTTTGTAGCTGATGTTGCTAAAAGAGATAACGGACGGGATTCAGTAGTGCTGAACAAGTTTGACTTGGTCATGCTTGAAAACGGGGGGCGGTTCCGACAGGACGTTGTGTACACAGTAGAACGCTTCTACAGATTATTTTTCGTCTTCCTCTCTTTTATCCCCTTTTTCTTCCTCAACGAGCAATTTGTGGCGGCATACACGATGCAGGGAAAGCAGATTGCATATCCGGAATGGGCCAGGAAGCCCTACTCTGACAACAGTGATAACCAGGTTACGTTTACCTTCAAAACTAAAAAAAAAAAACAATTTTTCGACTATAAAGATGTGTAAAATGGTTCCACGATTACTTGAAACAAATCTTTTGAAGCAAAAAATACGACAAAAATTTGTTCCTAAATTTGGAAAAATGAAGATAAAACTGAATTATTCCCAAATTAAACCCTCAGTCCTGATAAATAGTTCTCAATTCTAAAAATATATTGCAAAAGGAAAGTTTGTTTTTCGTTTCTATTCACTCGTTTCATCATTTTTCGAGAAAAAACTTTAAATTTCTGTGTTAAGTTTGAATCAATTGTATTTATAACTTTTTGTTGTAGTACAGAGTCGTGTTTCCGGAAACGTGGTTTGCTGATGGAATAATGCTGTTTACTATTATCGTCTTTCTGCCCACTCTCGGCTTACTGAGCGGTGGAGCTCCTAGGCGAGCGTGGGAAAGATTGACGACAATGGTTCGAATTAGACGAAGGAGAAGCAGCTGGCTCGATGAGCCTCAGCCTCAGTTCTTCACAATCTACGATCCTGTTAGACTCACTCTTGGATTTATTCTCGCTGGTTAGAGCTAGTCAAATTACAAAGAAAAACTAATCGAACATGGGGTCTTATGCACTAAACGGCCCAAAATCAAATTTTTTACATCGTAAGCTGGAAATTATGCGATCGGAATTTGATTGGGTAATTTTAGCCAATCAAGTTCAAGTTAGACGGTCAGGCATTCCGATCAACCTTTCCAGCAGATAAAAATATAAGCGAAAAGATGGAGCTTTGTAAAATAATTTTGAGTTACTTGTAAAACCTTGCCCAGACAAGAAAAACTTTAAAAATGGCTTGACATAACAAAAATTCAAATTAATAATCGGCTTATAATTTAATCTGCTTGAAGCGGCAGAATTATTTCATTTGAAGTCACAGAAAAAAACTCAACCACATTAATTTCAGTTCAAAAGATATAGAAATTATGATTTTGGGCCGTTTAGTGCATAAGACCCCGAAAATGTTCTGAAGTATTATAGGATGTTTAAATATTAATAGAGATTATATTAACTAAGGTAATATAGATTTTGCATGTAAGGCTCTTTCTTCCCTTCATCTTTATAAAGTGATAGATCAATATTTACATTTCCATGTTTTTTAAGAACTGCTTATACAGTTTTTGGGTTTTCAGCTCTATCATATGCAGTTGCCGGGGTTCTGGACGCCAGTCGGAACTACCTCTACCGACATTGTATTCATTCGCACTCCAGTTCAACCTCGCTCTGTTTCATCAACCAGTACATCAACGGAGTGTCATACAAGGCAGTGATTAGCGTATCCCAATTTCAGTTGAAACATGATAGCGTTTGGTAAAGTATGTAGCACAGAATCTTTCAATGGATAGTGTTTAGTATTTTGAGTAAAACAGAAAAAAGGTATAGTTAAATTTTAAATAGAAAACTTCAATTTTTGTATGTGATGGGAGTTCGGGTCGTGGGGTCACTTTAAGTTTCAAGCATATTGACCAAATTTCGGTACGTGTCGACCATCACGACCAAATTTGCCGTGTTTCCACAACTTTCTTGAAATCGATCTGACCTTGCTTGATTTTTTATACTTTTTTGAACTTTAGAACCCTTTGAATCCTACTTTGTGGACTTAAAAAATAATTTAAATCTAGATGGTAATCAAAATAATTGTGGTTTCTACGATTCGCAGAGGATCTATGAAAAGTTAACAGAGTGAGTTACTCTGGGCAAATCTGCTGAGCAAAACTTCTTTGCATCTCAATGCCTTTTTTCTGCGTTTAGAGCTTTCACGCGATACCATTATTGCAGTCGAAATAAGTCAGAGTGTGGTAGGCTTGAAGCTAGAAATCAAGAGAGAGCTCATCCTCACACGGTATCATTGCCATGAAAGGGGTCAAATACACGATCGGACGAACTAAAAAAGAACGAAGTCATCTTTTCGACTCGTTCCTTAGGTTGCGTCCATTTAGGTCTTTTTGATGAGAGTTGAGGCGTACTTTTAAAGTATACGCCACCAGAAGCTGTCAAGCCTATCTTTTGCTCACTTCCAGGACTTGTTGGACACATTACTAGTAGATGCTTGGTAGTAGTCAGCTGCTGGAGCGAAATTAAGGATGCTCGTTTTATTTTAAACGCCATTTCAACTTTGGGCAAACAGTGGATTTAACCACCGTTCATTTTTGTGGATTTGCAGCGTTTCAGTTAGCGTGATTTGGTCAAAAATAAAGGGACTTGAGCGTAATTGTTTGCGGGTGCCGACAAAATAAACAGCGTTGTCAGAGATTAAGATCTTAGCTGTGCTTCTTCTACCAATTAAAGAAGCCTCAAACTGCGTTAGGCAGTTGTTCGTATAAGATTGTCTGCCAATTCCACAGAAACCGCGTAAGAAAAGCATTTCAAGAAAAAAATGTCCCTAAGTAATCAAATTTTGTGATTTTGATTGGAAATTGATCATCAATTGAGTAGTCGAAAAAGTTTAGTGGCAACTTAGCCATTACTGAAAGTGACCCGTTACCTTGGATCATCCGGCAGAGAAAACAAAAAAAGCAATTGTTTCCTGCAGAGAAAACAATTGCGGTAACTGGATCCTGCAGAGAAAGCAATTGGATGCTTTGGTACGTCGGGTTACGTAGTCGGCCTCTTCAAATGCCCAATGCACGGAGTCATCCGTAGAATGTTTATCTTCCTTGTAGTAGATGACTGCAAAGTATTAGATACAAACTTGCTTAAATAGACACGCCTGATTATAAAAAAGAATTTCACTTGAATAGTAGGGTTTTTAGCCTCAATTGTCGTGCCGAGTGGTTGTAATAATCCGTCTGTGTAAACGCTTTCACGATGCAAATGAGCGGTTTTCGGCTTTGTTACCAGGTCTCCGAGGATAGTTCAGTTATACCAGCCTTGCTTCATCACGTTTTAAGCAGGCTAAAAGATCCTTCTGTAGCCATAAAATTGCTCCAATCTGCACCGATACGGTGACAGATTTTTCACAAAATTGTACGGGGAGGCCAAACCTAATGCTTAATTTGTATGGTCCAGTTTCAAGGCAAGAATTTAACGAGACTCTTTTGAACGTCGAAGCAGCGTTCGCTATCATAAATAACTTCCCTGAACTGTTTGGATTACTCGCCTGGTAGTGGAGGAGGTACCAAATCAATTCCGGTTCTGGATACGGAAAAGTAACATATTTGACATAACTTTTTTTCCAGGCCAGTAGAAAGAGGTTTTTCATAAAATTGCATTGTTTTCCGATCTTTTTGTAGCAAATTTTGTAAGGATTGCAAATGAGCTTTTGCTACCAGAGAGATCTAGGGCGTTTTTACTTCGCTTTTCTAGAGTAGAGTTATTTTGTAGCATTTTCCGTCGTGCTCAAGGCTTTGTTCCATAAAACTTTGTTATCTTTTGCTCTTTACAGATAATGTAGTTTTTCAGCCCTCGTGGGTGCCTGACCCTCCCATTTTTCAAATATTTAGTATCCAGTAAATATAAATATCCAGTATTTTAAAGCGTCTTCTCATTCGGCTTTGTCAAAGAAGTCATATGCGAGTTTGACTAAGTCATATTATGTCTCTGGTTGAGCGGGCCATTGATTGTTCAAGATGCATCATGTCACTGGGTCGAATGCTTAAAGTTCTAACGGGCTCTGATGGCATTGCGGGCTCGTACTAATTCAAAACGGTACAAAGTACTTCAACGAGATTGATTGATGGTGAAATTTTCCATCGTTACTTAAAAAAACGAGAATAAAGTTTGCTACTTCAATTGAATTGCAACAGCAAACAAGGCTCAACCTCCTTTGATTGCAAACTATAAACTCCCTCCCCCGAGAATTTTCATGGCATGAATTGATCCTCCTAAGAATTATCAGAAAAAGCGATAAAATTATAAAATACTTATCTGTAACATTAAATGTCCGGTTGAGCGCGCTAGTGATTGTCCACGGGGCATCTGGCCACTGGGTCAAGTGCTAATAGTTTTAATCGGCTCTGATGGCATAGTGCGCTCGTGTAAACTAAAACCGGTGTAAGATACTTTAACGAGACGGGCGCTAAGACTTTCCGTCGTTACTCCAAAAAAGGAGATTTAATTTCAACTGATCTGCAACAACAAACCTGGCTCAGCTCTTCCCTCTTGGGTTGGAAACTAAGAACTCCTTTCCCCGAGGATATTCATGACATGAATTGTCCTTCATGGGAATTATCAAAAATTAATAAAAATCATTAAATACTATCCTAATGAGTGTGACCTTGACTACTAATAAATTTGCCAGCTATTTCTACAACACAAACTTAAATAGCCAGCTTACCAGGTTTCTCTCTACTTCTAAACCTTATTGTCCCTCCTCTGCCCAACAACTCAATGCCGCTTTGTAAAACATTCTTTATACAGTGCCTTTTTTCAACCTGAGAATTGCAACAACTTTGTTCAATTTAGGACCATCTTTCCGAGGGTCTCGACATAAACTTTTTCCTTCGACCTTACTTATATCACTGTGGCCGCTCTTAAATGGTCGCAAATGGCCGTCTCTTCTTCCCAGATTTGTCAGCGCGAGGTGATGAAGATGTGTATAAGGTGCGTGCGCGTGCTTAACGATCGCCGGTAAAATGATTTAGGCGAGGCGGCTGACAAGAAAGCGCAGAGAATCCTATACTTATTATAAAAACAAATTTGTTCACTCATTCTCGAAAGTAGCCCTAATGATGATAAAGTACCCGAGTAGGAAGTATCTCCGTTTCAAGTTATTTAAAGGCTCTCCGACTTTTGAGTTTTAACTCGCGGCGCAACTGAAATGAGCAACTCACAATCTAGAAATGAGAACCTCTTATCAGCTTAATGTTCTTTTTACCATGTTATAGATGATCGTTTGGGTTGCTAACACATGTGTAAACAAACCACCCTCTGTACTAATTTGGCCTTAATTTATTTTTTATAACAATAAACGAGTTTAGGTAGGTAATCATATCAATTAAATTGAGCGTGATTTACACTTTGAAAATATAATCCCAACCGTAAATATCAACTAAATCTAATTTAAATCACGACCGTAAATCTAGTTCCTGATAAGCAAAATAAACAAAATTAGCATTTTTTCTTCCGATTTTCCGCCCTCCAACAACTCGTCCGAAGTGATGTCAATTTCTTTTAATTGAGATATATCGGTGCTAATAATTTTTCCTCCGTCAAATTTGGAATTATTTTGAATGCGGATCCCGCTCAAGAGTTTCATGATTTTATGGGATCTTTATGGTCTCAGTCCCAATTAAACTCAAACATATTCAAAAACCTTCCACTGAAATGGATTTAATTTTTTTCCCATGAAACCTAAGCTTAGGACTGTTTTGTCGGTGCATAACAAAGTGGTCCCATAAAAAACGGTTCAATACAAAACAGTTTAAATTTTTTTGAAACAGTCCGGTACATAACATTCGGTTTAAAATCACAGGGCGGCGAAAACCGGGTATAATTTTCGTATGGGATCCTACCCTCTGCCGACAACCTCGCAACACGCTGGCGCGACTGCGGCGGTCTTTATTTTGTTGTTTATAATGTTTGAACTCAGGAAAACTCTCGTTAATAATCACTTTTGGGAGTGTTTTTTGGATTCTTTTGAATCGGACTGTGTTTTCGTTGATTTAAATAAAAATCACAGTAAATTGTTATCAGACTTTTTGATTCATTTTCAGATTGTTTTGCTTTGGAATGTTTTGTATGGCACTGTTTTGTACAGACACGGTTTTGTCAGTTTTTTGCTCAAAAGCTTGTTCCGACTGTCGAAGAAAGTGACAAAATATTTGAGCTCGTGGTGGTTTTCCAGATTAATTTGACTTTTCATTTTGAAACTTTTTTATACATTTGTTTGAAAGACGATGTCGGAATGCTCAGGGCTTTGCCCCTATACAAGCAGTCTTGTTCAAATTTACGCTTTGAACAAAATTGATAAAGAGGTTTAGAGCGCGCTAAAGTTAGTCCAATAAATATGAAGAGCTAAAAAACCTGGGTCGAAGAGCTCACTTTTTGTTTGGACCATCTCAACGGAAAATCGGTATGTTTTGACTTTCTCGACAAATTTCCGTGTTTGTTTCGACTCTCCGTGTTTGTTTCGAGTTATTCCATTTTAGGCAAAATAATTTATGCTTTTTGGGTAACATCTTATGATGTTTTTTCAGCAGAATGAAACAATTAGAGCTGTTTACAAATTAAATGTTTCATAGAAATGATTTATGTTTAAGCTATTTTTTCCCATCTTTTGGGTTACTGGTTTTCAAATTTAGACAAAAATGTTTAAAAAAGTATGTCGATGTTTGAAAGAAACTGTTTCTCTTTGACTCCGAATTATCGCATGCTCGAGGTATGTTTCGACCGTGCTCAAAAGTGCTCGATAAATGTTTCGACCGTCTTCGAAGTATGCTTCGACCGTGTTCGAAATTATTTGTACAAAATTGACTGCTGAGAAACTAGGTCTTAATTATGTGCTTGAGTCTCACAATTTTTATTGTGGTACAAAAAACCATCAGAATCCACTGAAGAATATCCGTCTCTACTAAATGCTAAATCAACGGTTAAGCATTTGTGAATTTTAAACAAATTAAAACAGATTGCCACTCTTTTTAGATTTGTTAAGCATTTATAGTTTTTTTCTGATTGTCGGAGAAAATACCGGAGTATTTGTGCTCGCGTGGGTTTTTTTTCGTTCAAAGGTTTGATTTGTTAACTAAATTACAAGGACAAATTGTGCATTGGGTAGGCGCAAAGTTTTGGGTCTGTTTTTTTTTCTGAATTCCAGACACAGGTCTTTAAACATGTTAAAATTTTGTCGGAACGATCAAAGAGAATGAAAGAACAAAGAAAGAACAAAGGGAGCCTCCTTGTTGCTGAATCCGCGTGCATTTTACAAAATGCACAGCTTATCCTTGTAATGTATCTTGTCAATCGAACGGTATTGTAATATTGAGCTCGCATTGAAAAAATAGTACACCTGAGTTTTTTATAAAGTTATAGGGTTTTGAAGATTGCTAATGTGGTCAATTTGCGTCAATTAACACGCGATATATTTTGCGTTATTAATGCGTACGCGGAACTTAATCCGTCATAACAACCATAACAATATGGTCGACTTTTGTTTGAAAATTTCAACAATTTTCACAAAAAAAATGCTCCATATACTTTGAGAGGCAGCCGGAAAACTCAGCGTATAGTTTTTCATAATTTTTCAATTCATGGTTTTTCAATTTTTTCTTCGATATTGGTTAAGGAGCAGTCGGAACATACAGGGCTTACCCTTATGTACGAGCAGTCTTGTTAGAGATAAATTTGAAATTGAAGGCAAACTGTTTCCTCCTAGAAAATAAATTTGTTATTATTATTTTTAAGCTGGCACAGCGAAAGCTGGTTGTTGCTGTCTAACAATTGGAAGCCCTTATAAATTAACAGTTATGCCTCGGAGGATGAAGAAATCAATAATAATATTTACAGAGTAGAAATTCGGCTGTTGGCCACTAGTCTCTTTTCTCTTCGAAAACTATAGTAATTTTTTTCCACAGAATACCATCAGTAGCCATTTTATCTCATTAACGAATAATTTATTAAAATTATGAATAATACTTTTTTTGTAAGCAAGAATTGTTCTAAAAAATTGTAGATATTATGTAACATTTAAGACAGATTCAATTTTGAAAATTATATTAAAATTTATTAAAAACGTTTATTAAAAACACGTTTCAAATTTATTTAAAAATATATTAATAAAGACGCTAGTCACTGACACAAGGCGGCCTCGAGTGAAGTCATACATTCGTATGCACAGATGCCCCAGTTTGTGTTGGCTGCGATGTCAGAGGTGTTTGTGGTGGTGACTGCATACCAGTTTGCATACCTCCAGGCCCCAGACAACGACAACGAACCATGTGAGAAGTTATGAACAAAATTCTCGAAGTTTGCAAAAATTCTGTATAAACTTATAGGCCTAATGGGTCTTTCTCTCTCTCCCTCACCCCTCTCGCTGATGGTACGAGCAATTTTCTTATGTTTTGTTTCAGACAAAATGCAAGGCATATTCGTGGGACTCTGCTTCTTATCTCGCCGTAAGTAACATCACACAGAGCTAATCTGTCATCCTGAAAACATCCGGATCGAGATTTTTGATAACTTACCCGATTTCCTATTGTTCGCAAAACAAAGCATAAACAGGTATACCATTGAATGTGAACAAAACTATGTGCTTGGAAAGTCGGAATGGTCAAAATTTTTCATTTTTTCGAGACAACCTCATGATTCGTTATGATTGGCATGGTTCAAATTTTAAGCGATTGGCATCAGGGACGGATGGAGGATCTTTTCAAGGAGGGGGGACTTTCATTAACGTTTCTGAAACTTCCTCAACTTTTTTTTCAGACCGACCAAACTGATTTTCCAAATCACTATAAAGACCCTATTTCGACAAAGTTTCTCCCATGGTGGCAATTTTTTGATAAAAATTGATCAACAAAAACGTTTACCCAAAGTTTATCATTTTACGCGGGCAATAGGTTACGAGACATTCGGAGTTTTCAAAATATCACCAAATAATGAAAACTATTCGAAGTGTCGCCTTCCATATTTTGTGTGCACTACTTTTAGTTTTAATGTACTTCATGATAACAATCAAGCGTCTTGCTGTCAGATGCGACAGTTTTAGACCCACCATAGGTTAATTCTTCATCTTCTGGTTTAGGATCTTTATATACATAAGCCAAAATACAAACCCCCTCGAAAGTTTTGATTTTGAAAACGAGCTCCTCGTGAATTGAAAACGAGCTCCTAGTGACTGATTGCCCAGTTGAAACTGCAAAAGAAACAAATTACATCCTACAATTTGTTTTTTTCCTCATTGTCGTAAATACATGATTAAAAGTTTTTAACCAAGTTTTTTTGAGATTAAACCAAGTTTTTTAATCAATTCGTAGTGCCGGTTGATAACATTTAGTTTTAAAGTTTCATTTCGCTGAATGCTTTTAAATGACAATAGTTGCTTATGCTGAAAAGTTTTTCCAAAAGGTTAAAAAGAACCAGTTTTTTTGACGAGTTTTGCCTGACGGAACTAAATTTTGATTTGAAGATAAACTCTCTGCCATCTGTAAAACTCCAATGGTAGAAAAAAATTTCAAGTCAATTAGTACCAACCAATTTACAAAAATACCAACCCGCTATTTTTGCTCATTTAAAAGAGCAGGGGAACAAGATCAATAACCATAACTCACTATAATTCTGGTTGCTCTGCTGCAACGATTAGAAGGGCAAAGCAAACCTCATTAAACCCACACGGGTCACAGCGAGCTATGACCTAGATGAAAAAAACAAACGCCGAAATTCCAAAAAAAAAGCGCGAAGCATAATGAACTGGATATAGCTTTTCAAAGAACTAGCATCGAGAAAGGCTTGAAGTAGAAGATAAACAAGATAAAATTTGGCAAAATCCATGAACCCAGGAAGTCTTGGAGCAAGCAATGAGCTAAAAATTGAGCAAGCAATGAGTATTTCAATTATCAGACGCTAGATTATATAAGCAAATCAATCAGTCTTCAGACTTCTTTTACTACTAGCAAAAGATACTTTTTTGAACATAACCTTTTCGTTCACCTTAGCTGGCAAGTCATTCGTATTTTTATCTGTACTCTTTGGGCATTGTGAAGTCCTTTTATAAGCAGATCGTTTTTACTTGGTTATCATAGTTAGATTTTAAAGTACTCTCGTATTTCCGCCGTGTCCCTCTCTTCTATCTCTGTTGTCCTCTTAATTCTGATTTATTTTGTATCAATTGAGAATCACAACCAAAATTAGAACAAAGAAACGACGGTCGTAGTTGCAGAGAGCTGAGGGTTGAAGAAGTCCAAAAAAAATAATACAAAAAGTTTATAATTTAAACATAATGGTTTTACCTAACAATGGTTACAAAAAAAAAGAATTGCAAAAAGCAGCTTTGGAATTAAATTTTTTATGAATGCGATTTATTTACCTTTCAAGTTTTTTATGGTGAAAAACAACTCTCTCTGAAGCCATCAAGAACCAAATTTGCTGGATTGTTGCGGTCAAACTGTGATTAAAGTGAGAGGTAAACGAAAAAAATGAGGGTTCTTAAGAGGAAATAAGTTAAATGTACTCAAAGAATCAAAATTTTAAGGAAATTACCTGATCGCTTTCCTAGGATAAAACAAATCAAAAATATTATAAATTGGTCCGGTAAAACGAAGTAGAAGAAAGATTTTTGCTGGTCATGTCCTAATGTTCATTTTGGTCATATCTGATTGAAAATGTACAAATAGGGAGGATGAATTGGGAGGGTAAAACAAAATCATCAGTTGAAAGAGAAAAATTGATTTTTTTTTTGTCATTTATTATAAGGGTTGCGGGCGTTGAAAGGGTTGCATAATAACTAAAACAGATAATTCGATAACTTCCATCAATTACCTTTCGGAAATACTTTGCTATGTTTTCTGAAGGGTCTAAACATCGTTACACCATGCGTTAACGGCAGTGAATTGAACATACCTTGTTATCAGTGTCTTTGTACCTTTCCATTACTGTTTCATGAAGCCAATACCCATAACGAATCTTCATCTATTCACTCTAAATCAATAAAAAGAAGTATCGAAGACAAGCATTTCGTTTTTGGCGCAGTTATTGTTGTGGTAATAACTCAATGAGTAACCTCTTCAGATTGCTGTGATAGATTTCGAGCCAAACGTCAGGAACATAAAAGATTGCCTTTGAAGACCTAGAACAAGTCCGGGGAAAATTAGTTTATGGCTTGCCTAGTAGAAAGTGAATAGGGGTAAAGGGTTATGATTTTTTTGAATAAGAAGGAACTTTAGTTAGGAGTCTGAAGTGAATGTAGTCTTTTATTTCGCAGATTAGTGAGCAATTCCTCATCAAGTGTCTGAAATCCGATAGCCTTATACAGAGAAAGCATGAATATCTGACCAAAACTTTCCCAGCTATGGCCAAACTTTCCAGTAGGGTTGTGCAGTTACTAGCAAGTAGAATTCGTTTACTAGTAACTTACTAGTAAGTTACCACTTTTATACTAGTAAGTTACTTTTACTTACTAGTAAGTTTCAAAAACTCAAGGTCTGCTTGAAAACAACAAGGTTTGAAGACTATTTATTTTACACAAACTCAAAATCCGCAAAATAATCATTATGATCAGTATTATCAAGTAAAACAGCGTTGCAGTATATGAAAACAAGTTTATCTGCTCTTTCGACTGAAAGTCGATTACGATTTTTTGAATGAATGAAAGCGAAAATACTCCAGACTCGTTCGCTAGCCGCACTCGACGTAGGAATACTGAGCCCCCTCAGGGCAACTTTCGACAGAAGAGGAAATAAATGTTTGCCGTAAACAGCCCAAAAATGAAGTAGTTTCATTGATAAATACTCAAATTTTCGATTATCAGTCAGCAGAGCAAAAAAAGCGAGAAAACCTGTAATCTGGTTGTTGCACTCTTCAACTTCTTTGAGTTGCTCGAAATATTTTGCAACACAAGCTCGAAGCTGAAAAATTGTGTCTACACGATCAGTTCCTACCATATTTTCGTCAAAATTGCAATTTTTTGGACTCAAAATATGCGCAAAGCCCATACATGACGTATGAATGAGGTTCCACCTTTTTTCCACTATAGTGCTATATGGAATTTCTTCATTATCAGGGCTAGCAAGAGTTCGATATGATTGGAAAAGATCATAAAAAGTAAAATAGACAGAAGATAAGTCAGTCGTGTCACACTCGAAGAGACCAATCATCTCGTTAGGTTTCTTCAGTATTGCTTTCAGACTTTGAATTTTCTCCCAGAAAAGTTTTTCGCTGACATAGCTGATGAACTCGTTTCGTTTCAGAGTGGGTTTTGCATCATCCGGAACTTTATCAATTGCTAACAAAGAAATTATAGACTTGTTAATGCACAGAGAACTGAGACAACCATAGTTCGAACACCATCTTGTCGCACAAGGAAGCCTGAGTTGTTTCGAAACGCGCAGTTCATCTTGCAGTTCTCTAAAACGCGCCAAAACTCTTTGATGAATTTGACTACAAAAACACATTTTGTGAGAAGTTGCTCGTTTTCTGATCTTTCACAAATATCTTTCACCACCAAGTTCATAACATGCGCTGAGCATCCATTGCAGAAAACAATTGGGTAACGCGCCTCAATCAGATCACCTGCGCGTAACATGCATGGTGAATTGTCGGTTATGACGGACAGAAGTTTCGCTGAACCAATCTCTTCGACAACTTTGATGATTTCCTCTGCAATGTTTTCAGCTGTTTGAACAATCGTACAGGTGTCCACTGATTTATAATAGAACGGTTTCTTGTTTGGAACAAGGATTATAAAGTTAACCAAGTGTTCGTTTCTGATGTTGGACCACCCATCTGTGATAACTGAATAATATTTACAACCAGACAAAAAATCGTCAACTGTTTTTTTAATTGTTTGATAAGTAGATTCTAATAAACCCTCACTGAGCGCTCTCCGGGTCGGCATGACCGCTTCATAATTTGGGCGGAGAGTCTTTATAAACTTCCGGAACGATTAGCTGTCAATAATGCGAAAAGAAACGCCAGTTCTGTAGAAAAAATAAGCTAATGCTTTGTCGCATTTATCTTTTTCGTTGAGACATAGTTTGTCGATCCATTGCTCTGTTCTGCGCTCACTTGTAGGTTGGTTATTAATTTTGATAGTTTCTTGTACTGCCAGCGTTTCAGTTGCCATAATATGTGGAGACGGCGTAGGGCGCGAAACTGATACCATTTTCAACTCGATGAACATCTGTTACTCGGAAGAATTCTGGCCATTGCATTTGCCTCCGCGTTTATGATTTTCGAGCTTCCGTCGGCCCCAAAAATTCTGTTGCCCACATGTCTTGCAGTAGCCGTAGCCATCTGTGGTTTTATCTCTGAGATATGATGTGATTTCGTACTTCATTTCAAAGAGAAAGTGTAAACAAAACTAACTGAAACGGATAAGCGCGTGAAATTAAATGAGAAAGAGTACCGCATCAGCCAATCAGCGCAGCCTTTGTTATTGATCGCGTTGTATTTACATACA